CTTGTTGAGATGTTTAATAACCTGTCCGTAGATTAATATTTAAGCCATTCAAGTGTTTTCTACTGTTACTTGATAACTGGGCTAACCCCTGGAGTGTGCAATTTTGGGTAAAACTATTCATCCTTCCTTTGGTTCATTTCCAAATCAAAAATGATTTAACTCCTTAATACTTAGTTTCTCTTTAGTCTTCTGCTTTTTAACACACTGCTCATTTCCCCTACCCTCTTCCTTTAAAACATTTGATGACCATGAAGTAACATCACTTAGTTTTTGTTGGGCTTTAATTGGCCAAAGATGAATTCTATGAATATCATTATAGGTTTCGCTTTCCCTCATTCCTATACAAACTCACATTTTCCTTCAGTGCAAAAGGTTTCAGTAAATATTTACTAAAAGGATCTTTATTCATAATCGGCCAGACAAATTCAATTATTACCTTTTCATTCTTGCCACCCAAATTCCAAGGCATAAAAAACCTGTTTAGATGTTTTTCAATTAGAGTTCAAAATGAAGGATTTCTGACTAATCTTCAATATTAAACCTGCATTCCAACTGATTACAAATTGTAGATTTCACTTGTAAAATCCAGTCACATGAAACTATTTAAATGATCAACAAGCTTCAGAGATTCCCATGTGATTTTTTTGCTTAATTGCATGGCTGTTCTAGGTTTGTAGAGAATAAAAGTGCTAGAAATGAAAATAATCTAACATTGTAGTTATTTAAATCTGCCACCATTACAGTTTAAAAGAGAAAAAAAAAACGACAAACTTGTATGTATTAACTTCTAAACAATTATAAATCAATGTACAGAAAATGTTGAACTGACAATGAAATTTCCATTACAGATTCAAATTGAATTTAAGCTGTCAAAAAACAAAAAAAAACCAAACTTATTACATTAGCCAGGTTATGAACGCAATTTCAAGACTATGAAGTTTTATCAGGTATATAAACCAGTAGCATCTATTCACAAAAATAACTAGTTTTTATCTACAAATCCATGTTTTCAAAAGGTGTTCTTTGTCCCATTGAAGGATATTTATCACTTGTCAATCTACATAGCACTATTTTTAGATTAAAATCCCATATATTTCTAAGATCTGTTTTTAATATTGTTACACTAAGTATATATTTCAAAATGCCTTTTTAGATAAGAGATTGCTAGACAGGAAAATACTTAAAATTACAGACCCAATAATAATTATAAGCATTTTGTTTATACTAATACATGATATTACATTTTTAAAATGGATATGTTGACAGTATCAGAAATGAAACTAAATACAATAGTCAGTTCTTAATATGGAGATTATAGTTCAATTTTTAACCTATCATAAAATAATGAAAAATTATTGCTTATCTATAAATATTCCCAACAGTTGGAGGAATTTAGTTTTTGAAAGCACTAAAAAAAAAAAAAAAAAAAAAAATTTTTCATTTTTGATGAATATAGTTAAGCCAATTCAAAAATATTTGTGTACTTACATGGATTGAAAATGTTTATTGCTAAGAATTAGTAGTGTTGGATCAAAATGAATTTAATATCACATTGTAGCATACTTCCACAAAGAAAAAAAATGTATAAACCAGTACCACTTATTTACAAAAATAAGTTTTTTTTTTTTTGTTTGTTTATCTACAAATCCATATTTGCAAAAAGGTGTCCTCTTTATAACCATTAAGAGAGATTTATCACCTGTCAGGCTACATAGCACTAATTTTAGATTAAAATCCCATATCATTCTAAGACCCACTTCTAATATTGTTACACTAAATTGGTATACGTTTCAAAAAATGCCTTTTACATAATGGAGACAACTAGTCAACAGGGGAACAAAGCTTAAGAGAGAAAAAAAAAAAATTATACACACCAAGTACCAGGAAGCATTTTGTTTAAATTGGAGATGTTACAGTATCAGAAATAAGACTAGATACAACAGATAATGACACTGAAAAAGTTAAGTTAAAACATTTTCATTAGGGAAATCAGTTTACTTTTTGTATACATAATCTTTCTCCAATGCAGTCAAATTAAAAGAATTTGTCAGCCAAACTGTAAACAGCATTCACATTTTGTAATAGAGTTCACTATAAACATGTTGAGGTAATCATTGAAGCCAGAAATATCAGATCAATTAACACTGGAGAGGTTATTTTGTTTCATACATCTGTGCATGCACAAAGCAATAATTTCCACTTTTGAATGAATAAAAATGTAATTTCACACACAATTTTTTTTTTTTTTTTTCCTCATGTTTTTCTTTTGTTTTTTTTTTTATAAATAGAACTTTTGTTATTTTTGTCCATGTCCTGTAAATAAATACTCAATATTTCAATACTCAGGAAAAATATACAGCTTATAGTAGAGAAGGAAGTAGGGATCGAGAGAAAGGGAATGAGATTAGGCATTATAGATCTGACCTTCCTGTATTGATTACAGGTGGGCAAGAATCTTTACTTTAGAAAGAGTTAATAGTCAAAAGTAAAGCTATCTTTATTTGTGATGCATCAGTCATTGTAGTCTTAGGTGGCAACCAGAAGGGGATACTACTGGATGTCAGAGCTAAGTTCAACTCCAGTCAGCTGACCAAAAAGGTAGGCTTTTACATACACATGATCACACGTCTTAAAGCTGTCTTAACACATCCCACACATATGTAATGGCTGGATTGTAGATATAGACATTAGAGAATTTAGATATCAAATTAACATTACAATCACAAAAGGAAAGAGCAGAAATAAGAGAGTACAGAGAATAAGAAGACCAAAAGGTTGGAGTGGATATTAAAAGAAAAGTTGAAGGATCAGAGGAGAATTATGAGACAATGGAATAATTATTAGGAAAGATGAGGTGTCTTGGAAGGCAAAGCTAAAAATAGACATGTGCAAGCCAGGGATTAAAAAGAAAAAAAGGAGGGTGGGGGGACTAAGTGATAGATATTAGCAAAAAAAGCCCTTGATTAAAAAAATGCCTGAATAAGCGATTAGGGATTCAGATTTGGAAACATAAGAGAAAAAGCATTAAAAGTATATTAAACCATGTGGCATAGGATAAATAAAAAAAAAATTAGAGAAAAAGAATGTACATTTGGGGGGTGAGGAAGGGCTGTTGATAAGTTTTAACACGTGATTGCACAGATAATACAGGACCAGTTGTATTAATAATGCTGAATTAGGCCCAGAATTTAACATGGGATATGTTTTGACAGCTTTAAATGTATTTTTAAGTTTAGGGTTGTTAATGATTCAATGAATAACCAATTTAAACAAAACAAATGGTAGCAAATTTAAGTGAGGCTCAAATTGGGAGTTCATTAAATAGTAACAATCCTGTACATATTTTTAAGGAGGGTCAAGCTGCAAGAGTAAACTTTCATAAAAATCTTAAGGATAGAAAAAAAAAAAAAAAATTATCTTTCAAAATCTTTTCTTTTTATTAAGTTTTTCTTTTATATATTTTTTGTTAAATTTTCTCTTTAAAACAGTCATTATCGTCTTGGTCATCACTGTCAGTGGTAAGCGGAGTTTGATGGTTGTACTTTGTCTGTTCTTTTGAATGTACAGATTTTGTTTCAATTATGTGGAGCCTGAGAGGATTCAAGGTCATTTCGTCCAGGTGTATCGCTTGAACTGATAGGCCAAGCGGCATGGAGTCATTCTTGTGTGTGTATGCATGTATGTATGTATATATCACACATATGTAAATATATATATTATACACAGATATATGTATAATATACATATATTGTTGGGACAGGGAAGTTGTGCAAAACAACTAGATAAACTCAGAGTTGGACATTTGCCAATTCAAGAGTTTTACTTTGTGTCTGAGCTTGACACTATCTTATGGAATGCTAATTTACCCTCTTTTCTCAAGATTCAAAGCAGCCAAGTTAAATAAAAGATTCTGTAGAAAAAAAACAAAAAACAAACAAAAAACAAACAAAAAACATAACTTAATGCTAATACACATCTATATATAAATACACATTTATAGGGTAAATGTATTATAAAGATATGTTTAGATGTACATATATAAAATAAAGCAGTTAAAATTCAGCAAAAAGATTTTTAAAATTCTGAAAGACATTATTGCAAGAATTAAAAGAGTAAAATTTGTACAAAAAGAAAAAAAAAAAAAAAAATTAACTTCTTAACAATTTCATTGAGGAGGTAGGAATTAAATTTAATTCTAACATAACCCGCCCTTCCAAAGACTTACTAACGCTGCTTAATTTTTAACTGCTATCAAGAAATCTGAGACCAGGACTCAAAGTTCCTTTACTTGAAAAATTCAAATAAACATTTGAAACAGTTTAGATAATCCAAGAGAAAAGTGGGATATTTAAACAATCCATAATATAAACACCAAACAGCAGAAGTCATTTATTTGTAATCACGACTCAACAGTCTTTGTTGTTGTTGTGGAAATGGTGGTGATTGATTGATTGATTGATTGTAGTGTGGGTGACCTACACTAGTCCCCGCAAAGAGTAGTCAAAACTACTGCAGACTCTCACAGTCAAGCTGGGGAGTGTTAAGCAGGTCTTTTGTCATCTTAGATGTCAGGGGCCACAAGGGGTGGGGAGTCATCGGATCATTTGGACAGGTCTGTGACATCTTACAACCCGCCTGCCAAGCAGCAGCAGCAGCAGTCGTCGCTGATGTTCTAGTGTCATCATGGTTAATCTGCTTTGTTATGTCATGTGGTAGTATGGTTAGTGGTGGTAGTGGATAGTGGTCCAGTAATCGTCACTGTGTTTTAGGACTTGTGGTCCCATGTCATTGTAATGCTCACTGCTAGATGGGGGACAGTAGTAGTCAAGTACTAGAGTCAATGTCATCAGTACAGTTACGTCTTCAGTAGCAAGGAGAAATTGCAGATCATTACATGCCTCTAGCACAATAAAACAGCCAAGGTAGAACATATAGGGTTGGCTGTCATATATTAGGAGCATTTTGCTTATTAACTGGTTCAAACTCCAGCAAGAGTCTGTTCAGAACTGAAAGCCTTCCATTGGTACATCCTGACCAGCACTAAACTGGAACTGCTGGGCATTCTCATCAGTCTGCGGTGCAATGCTCTTATCCTCTTCTTCAGTGCCAAAGTAGCGTTCAATTATACTAAAAGCTTTTTGATAGATCTCTCTGTTTTCATGGCTTTGGAGGAACTCTATCTTGTCCAAACCTGGAATAGAGTGAAGAAAAAAAAAAAAATTTTCTATTTTTTTTTTCAAGAATTCTCAATTTATAGGAAATTAAAACAGGGATTTAAAATTGCTTAGTAAAAATGCTTTTACAAACCTGTCATGTAAAAAAATAATTGAAGATTAAAAGAAATAATTCAATTCTTGAAGGCAATGATAAACTTAAAGAAATATTCCAGTCAGTCATACAGGGTATTAACTGAACTCCAAGGAAACTGAAGACTTATTTTAATTGAGATGACTAAGAAAAAAATCAAAATCCCAATGGCAGGACTTGAAACTACTATAAAAAAATAGAATATTTTTAGTATCTTTGAACACAGATTTAAAAAAAAAAATAAAAAAAGTAGTGCTAAACTTATTCTTAGCAAAAACAATACTGAACATTAATAGAGTTTTAATAAAACAGGTTTGTCATACAAATTTATTAGGGGGGAAAATTGCTTGAATAATTTAAATATTCAATTATAAATAGTTCAATAAGGGATCTTACTTTTTCACTATATCAAGCATAATCTTATTTGAATAAAATACAGTCACCCACTCACTAACTGTCCCTTCCCCCAAACTTATGACAAGCTAGAAAAGAAAAGAAAAAAATCCTACCAGTCATTTTACACATGAAAACCATGATAGTATTTTTTTTTTTTTTTCTCAAAATGAAAAGAAAAGTCAATAAAAATTTACTTGTACTACTATTTACAGTACAGAAACCAAAGTAATGTGCAGAATACCGAGTGGACTTTCAAGTTTATTGCATTCACTTTTCAGTATACTATGTATTTAGAGGCATGGAGTAATGGATAGCAGCTTGAATTGAGGAATCAGAAAGCAGAGTTCAAATTCCAGTCAAATCCATTACATTCACTTATATGCTAATACCCTTGGAAAGAAATGGTAACTTACTGAAGAAAAAAAATCTGCCTCAGTCATGTATCGAAAGATACATCATCACCTAAGCGTGTATCATGCATGGAGCATAACTGACTGACTAATGCATTTAAAAATAAATTAGAAATTTTACAAATGATGCAAATGTGACATTAAAGCTATCTGCAGCTGGTTGACACAAACCCATTACACATATGCAGAAGACAGTAGGGCAGGTCGATTTTGGAAGTGTGATATTGCACTTAATTTGAAAGTTGGGGTCCGACATAAAATTTATAATTTATTGAATCTTTACAAATTGTATATGGACAAGATGCATAACACAAGCACATTATTACTAAATCATTGTGACGTCAAATAAAACCTTCATTTATTTCAAAGGAAAATTATTCTGAACAATATGATGTAATATGTTGTACGGTACAGTAATTTTAGTGTGATTTTCAATAAACAATGCAAATTTAATATGACATAATTTGTGCCTAGGAGTATTATGGAATTATATACACTTATCTATGTTTGGTTTTTGTATTGGGGGGGTCACATACCGTTAAGAAAAAGAAAAATTTTGATTTATACTAACCATAGCATTCCTCAATCATAATAGCATATGGATTTGTATTGCCATGCAGCTTAGCATCTTGATCTCCAAGTCGCAATATATTTTCTAACCCATTCAGGGCAACATGAACAATTTTACTATCCATCACGGTCAACAAGTTGCACAGAGGAAGAATGCAGCCTTGTTCCACAAGAAACCTACAGAGAATAAGAAAATAAAGCAAAATTTACTTCACCAGGTCAAAGAGACCAAATTACAAAGATATTCAATAAAATAGAAAAAAGAAAAAGAATTGTAGACATGTTCAACAGCAAAAGGTTATTCAAAAACGATTCTTAGCATCAAAGGATGACCTTGACTGCATCTCCAAATTAGATTATGAAAAACACTTGTGTCTGAGCTTATGTATGAAGTTGGGGGGAAAAAAAAAAAAAAAAAAAATTCAACGCTCATATGCCACAAGAATGACTTTTGATAAAAGTAACTGATATTTAAGATATCAAGCTGAAATTTGATGTCTTGAAATTTGTTTTCCATCTAAATAAGTAATTTCTGGTCCATTTTGCTTTATTCTAAATTAGTTTTGGAGTTAAAAATCCTTCAAGAGGGGGAAAATGGCTTTTTCAAGGTATCTGCTAAATGTTTGGCTGACCACAGAAACTGTTAGAGCTATAGACTTAATAGAATGAAATTTTCCATTGCTTTATTATAGGCTCACTTCTAAATAAGTGAATTTCTGGTCCCATTTTACCTTTATTCTAATTAGTTTCAGTTATAGGTCCTCAAAATTGGGAGAAGATGGCTTTTTCAGAGGTCCTTTAAGAGGGAGCAAATGGCTTTTTAAAAGGCATCTGCTAAAAACTTGGTATCCTCAGATTATTTGTGTAACATCCCACATACCCAGCTCAACTTCCAACAATCATTGCTTAGTTCTTTCTACATTGTACAAGTTTGTGTTTAGACTTATTTCACCAAGATATTCAACTTAACATTAGCAATTATACTTGACTTGCAAAAATCTGTACAAAACGTCCTATCTTGCTTCAATCACTGTAAAGTTAAGACATCAATTCAAGTTCATTTTTTTTTCCTTAAAAAACTGAAGAATTTATCAAGAGTTATAAAATTGCCTGTGGGCCACCATTATTGCTAATTATTAATAAAACAACTATATCCACCTATACTTATCTGCTTAAAAATGTGACAGTACTTGATAAACACCCTAATATATTTAATCTTCATACACTAAAGATGAAAAATATCTAAAATTATTTCTATATTACTATTACCACTTCAATCATTTACAATGATTCAGTGTAGCAAAAAGTGTTAGGATTGAAAACATGACAATGAAATTTCAGCAAAATTTACCATTTAAAAAAAAAAAAAAAAAAAAAAAAAAAAAAATTTACCGTATTTGTTCTGGAGAACCACCAGATGTAGCATTAGTTATTGCCCAGGCAGCTTCTTTTCTAGTCTTAAATTCTGCTTTTCCCAGAATCTCAATTAAGACTGGAAATATGTTAGCATCAATCACAGCCTAGTGTATAAAAAATACTTAAGATTAAAGAACATTAAAAATAATTAAGAAAAACATTAACTTACAACTGAATTTACAATAGCAAAAGAAGTAGCTATTTTTTTTTTTTTTTTTAAATTTCAAGTCGCTGGCAACAAGAGTCATCTACTACCAGACAAACATTCAACAGTGAAGGAATTTACCAGTATTTAATGAAGTTTTCACCAAGAACTTGGCATTCTATAAATATTATGACAATTTAGCTTTTTGGTAAATTAAAAAAAAAAAAAAAAATTCAGTTTTCTTCCATTTCAAAGTACAATAATAATCTGCTGAAGATTGGGGGGAGGGGGTAAATCTTTTAAAAGAACGGAAGAAAAATTTTTAATCTATATGTATTTGGACAAGTCCTCTTCTGGAGAGGAGAGTGTGTATCTCCACAACAAAAAAGAATGAGAAAAACTACATCTTAACAAGTTTAATAACAATATTAAGAAATTGATCCATGAATTCAAGAGAATTAAAATAAAGAGATATCAGGTTGGTGCAAAAGTAATGTCTGATTTTTAAGAAAGTTTTAGATAGTATTTATGAAATTTGTGCTTCTTGCTATAGTTAAGAATGTCATAAGTAATCTACACATTTCACTTTCAGATTATAAAAATATTTTTCATGATTTTCCGCAATATTCTCACCCAGGTTTGTCCCATCTAAAGATCACATTTGAAATATCTTACTGTATAAGTTTCATAAAGGTGTGAATGCAAATGAAGCAGCAAAGTCTATTCAGAGTACTTATGGAGATGATGCAGTGAATGAAAGAAGTTGCAGGAGGTGATTTTGTGGTTTTCCAGTTTCCAAAGTGGGGATTTCAGTTTAAAAGACAATCAAAGAGAGGGTCGCCACTCCACCCCCACCAAAAAAATTTAATTCCAAAGAGTTGGAAGCTGTTGTCACAGACAATACCATCATCACCCCAAGAGAACCTGCAGAACAATTTAGCATAGACCATACAACCATGCTACACCAATTAAAAAAAAAAAAAAAAAAAAAAAAAAAAAAAAAGGATAAGAAAGGTTTCAGTGGTTAGGAAATACGTCCCACATAAACTTGTCTCCAGAGAATCAAGTGTATCTGTGTACATTCAGAAATTGTTTTTTTCTTTTTTTCTTGTAATAGTGTGGACAAACAAGTTTATAATCTTTTTGTTTCTCTAAGTATGGAGCTTTTATATTGAATAAATGAGTATTTTAAATATGTAAATACAGCATAGATTTCCTTATAAGTTAAAAAAAAAAAAAAATCATCTTTTCATTATTTTATGTTAGTCAAGGTTTGAAGCCTAAGCAGTAATATTGTCTAGAAATAATATCTGCCTTCTCTCTGCTGTTGCTTAATTTTTTTTTTTTTTTTTAAATTTAATGGTAAAAAAGCTTTATCTTAAAATATGCAATTTAGATTTGTGTAACTCCTAGTTAAATTAACACAACTTATACAACAGCACCCTTTGTATATGCATTTTTAAATTGGTTCCTCAAACTAGATTAAGTAAAGCTAAAATTTATAATGGTCAGTATATTCTTAACTTTCCTGTAATGTTTTACATGAGGGATCCATTTTTATCAATATTTAGGTCTATAGCTATATAAATGGTTACAAGAAAATGTTTTTATGAATCCTCAGTAGGCTTTCCAGGTAAATCTTGTCTGATAACTCAGATATAGATTAATTTAATTTCCAGACTTTGATAGCACTGACAATACGTCATGTTCATGCAGCAGCAGTAACACATACTGTGCAGCCAGTTGCCCTAAAAGAGCCCATGCAATAGTGGTACTTGAACAAGATACCTTTGATAAATTAGGTTATATATTTAAATTTCAAAATGGAACTTTTCATGTTTGGTAGTAAATCAATCTAAAAAGAAATTAAGCACGCCATCAATTGGTGATCCAATTGATGATAGATTCTAGAATATTACTGTACACCAGCCTATTTACACTGCCTCTCAATGAGTGTACAATGAAAAGATCATTAAAAGTGATACAAGTTTATATGACAAGAGGGAAGCAGCAAATCTTATGACAAGGATTGCCATATTTACTATCAGACATATTGGTGGCCTCTGTCTTAGTAAAAGACAGAGATTACAAGATATGCCATATGTATAAGGATTACTAGTTACATTAATATGGCACTTGGACTTAATGACATGAATTACTTTCCAATCATTGGCAAGTAGTTATTTTATTTTCAAACCACTCAAACCTTGGCAACTAGAAATAGTGTGGATTACTGGGATTATATATGGCTGTCTATGAAACGTCTGAAATGTCTTTAAAAACTAACTTCTTGGATTTTATTAAGATTTAATTGCATGAAGTAATTTGACTGACAAAATGTAAAAACCAAAGTTATATTTCCCTATATTACTGTTTCATTAGAATTAGGTTTCCATGATTCGGAGAAAATTGTTACTACAACTGTATCCTTAGTGATATTTACAGTCTGTTTTTCAGTAATTTAATTTGGTTTCCATGGAAATAACTAAAACTAGATAGTCATGCATAAAATGCCTGAGCAATAAGGCTATCAGAATAGGCATGATATAGAGAGGTTAGTTCATTTAGGTACCTCACAAATTAAACTGAAATTACCTTTAAAGTAGTAATATTTAAAAGTTCAGTTTGAAACAGTTAAAGAATACTGTTAACTTGATTTACAGAATTTGACTAGACAGGCTCCTCCCATCCCTCTAATAACTGACAATGCAAGTGAAAGATTGAAAATAAGCAAATAACTATTTACCTGTATTTGCATTCGGTTTCCAGCTGTGATATTAGATATTGTCCAACAAGCTTCTTTCCTAACAGTTTCTTTAGAACTACTCAAAAGAAGAAGCAATGATGGGAGAGCTGAGCAGTTTAACATCACCTGTTTTTAAAAAAAAAAAAAAAAAAAAAAGTTATGAAGTTTTTTTCAAACATGCTAAAATTTCAATGAAAAATCAAAAGGTAACAAAATATAGAAGATTAACAATGAAAAGGTTAGACATCAAATGTCAAATATTCTGAAAGATTAGAACATTTGTTGAAATGACAAGACTGAAGATAAAAAACAGCAGAATTTGATTACATTATATATTAATTATTATTTTAAGATTTTAAATTTAAATATGTAGAAAAGCATAATATTCTCACCTGTGTTTGATAGTCATCTCCAGTTACAATGTTTCCAACAACTCTCAGAGCGGCAGAGACCACACACAGATTGGAATATCTGGAGAAAAAATATTTTCAGAGACACTTTGAAAATATTTAGCAAAACATTAAAACTAAAATGAACATCAGGAACAGGACACTAATATAAGTAAAATTATCAGATATCTAAAATAGTTTTAGAAATGCTAATCTTAAAAGTATTCATATACTGAATAAATCTTTACAAGTTTATGAAAGAAAACCGCAAATTTCATCAAATCCAATAGACAAGCAATACCAAACAAGTTTATTTTTTTAACTATGCCTTTTGCTTAAATGAGCTTTCCTCTTTGGTGCCTTGACTTTATGAATTTAGGCACAGTACTAGATTGATAATCATTTCAACTAAAATGTCACCTAAGTTATATGCTAAGTTTTCTCCCCCCCCCTTGCAATTCTTGCTTGTGGAACTCTTCAAGGCTTCTTGATTTCCAATCAACTTTGATCTTCAACAATTTAATGCAATTTCAATTGTTATCTATGTTTTTCTTTTATTTTTTTTTTCCACTCAGTAACCCATTGTATCTTCACCTTCAGCACACCACATTAATATAACTTTTCCACTGCATTCTCTCTCAATTGCATTAACCTTATTGTTAATTTCCCTCAAGTGTTTTCTATTGCCATAGCAGGATATGACAATACAGCTATGAAATTCAAACAAATTTAAATTTAGTAGTAGGATAAACTTTTTGCACAGCAAATGAAATCAGTGTGATAAAGGTTATTGGCCTTGCTTGGGGAAAAATGATTAAAAAAATAATCAGTTTTCAATCTTATATCAAAAAGAGTCTAACAAATATACCTTGCCCAATGAAAACTTGGTGCTGTATAAAGCAATATTTTGTTCCAAGGCATTTCTCACAGCAAGAGAAAAAAATTTCACAGAGCAAGGGAAAAAAAAAAAGTTGTTTTCATTTTTATATCATAAACCTGTAGATCAGACAAATCACTGTTTTGCTGTATAATTTGAATATTAAAACAAAGGATTAAACTGGTCACTACAGATTGTTGGGAGATGAATTACATTAATTTTTTTTTTTCATTCAACATGTTTATATTTCAGTGTATAAACACAAAAGCTTTATAACCAGTATATCTAAGCATTTGTATTAATATCAAAAGTTTATTTATGCCAATAATGCTAAGAATAAAAAATAAATTAAAAAAAAAAAAAAAAATTACATAGACAATGCATACATGTCAACTTACACTAAAAGCTCTACCAATCTCCGGCAAACACCAGAATCGATGACTGCTTGAATCTTTTCATTTGGGCCATCAGACAAATAAGAAAGTGCCCAACAGGCATCAGCAAGTACATCTTTATCAGCATGATACAGCAAACGAGCTAGCACAGGTAAAGCTGGAGACACCTGGAACAGATTAATACATCTCAATCAGAAGACAATTTTAATACTCTCACTCATACAATAAACAAGGCTCTTAAACATCAAGAGCACAAAAGCTACCCTGTAATTAGCTATAAATAAAAAAAAAAAAAAATTGCATTTCTAGCTATTTTTTTTTTTTTTTTTACTATAAATTACAAAAGAAACTAATAGACTTTATTTCAAAAATAGTCTTACTACACAACTGATACTTCAAGAAAATTAAAGTTTGTAATGGAGTATGGAAAAAATCATTTAGTTCTGTCCTCAACATCTGATGTCTTTTACTATATCAATGCACTTACGAAGTTTTAGTTATCAGCTACTAGAATAAAGTCTATGAATAGAGTTCAAAGTAAGCTGAAACTACTTATAAGATCTCATACTAAGGTTTTTCACAAAACCCTCTCCATAATTACTTTTGTCTATACATACAGATACTGACTGCTAAATCCAGTGTCACTAGTTTTCAACATAACTAAAACTGCTTTTCCTCCCCCCCCCCGCTTCATTAGCAATACATTTTCAAAACTAAGAAAAAAAGTCAATGTCTTTAAATATTTTTAACTCATAAAAACTAGTTTCATCATCTGTCTTCAGAAAGACAATCACCACTAGTAAGCTTTATTCCATATAGAGTATTAAGACCACAAAATCCGATTGCAAGTGAAGCTTACTATAACTTAACCCAAAAAAAATAATTAGAAAAGTGCAGAAGTAGTCATCAGGAAAAGAATTTTGCTATAAAATCCATAACCAAAATGCTAGAGAAAGCAATGTAATAATTAAAATACTTGTACAGTATAAAATAAATTACATTTCATTTTCTATCAAGCATAGAAAGCTGCCTGAAAATTAGCAACCTACTCGAGAATGGATAATTTCTTGCTTATTAAGCAAGAACTTAAAAGCTGCAAGTTAGAAATAATTGGCTTTGTAATTTGCATAAAAAAAATTAGTGACAACTTTCATTGTTCGATATGGGAGTGTCAAGACATTCTTGTATCTTTTGCACTAAAACAGGAAGCAAAGTATTATTCATTCTTATGATAAATCCCAAATGTTGACATTGGAATATCTTTATCCTTTGACAAAACACTATTTTAAATCCCTTAGTTTTAAATAAGGTGTTATATGACACTTTTGCACACACTAATCTACTAGGTTTATTGACAGACAAAAAAAAAAAAAAAAAAAAAAAAAAAAAAAAAAACTAAAAATCCAGTTAAATTTTAAACCATATGTATGTATGTAATTACTTGATAATTAGTAGGGATAATTCCAAGGAAGATATAAATGGAAAAGAGAGCTCAATGTAAGAACAGAGCAAATATAATAATGAAAGCAAAGTCCTTAGAAATCTATAGGTAGTAGTTTATTTCATGGGATCAGGTGCCCATCTCTTCGGACCAAAGATTTATGGATTTTAAATTTACCCAGACAAGTAAAAAAAAGAAGAAAAAGGGAAGAGAAAAAAAAAAAGGGAAAAGAGGAAAGAGTGTGTGTGTGTGTGTGTGTGTGTGTGTGTGTGCGCTTTTATATGGATATGCTTTTAATATATGTATGTTTTTAGTTACTTAAAATGGTCCTTTATCACTTTAAGTAATCAAAATTTTTATATTAAGATTTTTACTATTTTCATAATCTTTTATTTGTCATGCGGAGGGGGGGTATGTTCTAGGTTAACCCATCAACTGACAGCTTAACATGTCTTCCCCCTCACTTTTTTCTCCCCCGCTCCCATGTCTATCTCCCCACCATCTTACTTTAAGTTTTTTTTTTTTTTTTGTTTGTGTCTGGATTAGAGTTGGCAATTTATGCCCTGATATTGGTTTCCATTTTCTTTGATACCGTGGTTTTCGATTCAATTTTTAATTTAGCATCTTTTGCTTTCTAAGGAAGCCATTCATTTTCTTGTGTAATGATAACGTTTCGTCGATATCAGATTTCATTTGAGATTGATAAATTTACAACAGTCCATTCAGCTTGCAAATTCTTGTGTATTTCTGGCAAAGAAAATATTTCTAAATATGTAATTTGTATGTGCTTTTATTCATTGTATTATTTTTTTAGAGCGAGTTAAGACAGTATTTTGCTTTGAACAGCCGAAAGTGTGAAATGATTTTTTTTTTTTTTTTTTAAAGACTAAATTTTACTACACTTTACTGTGTTTCGCAAAATAAAAGTGACCAATCTTTATAAATATTCTTGAAATTGTACACAGACTGTACACTGAATTAGAAGACACCTTAAACTACAACCAGGAAGATGTTCATTTCTTCTGACCCATGGAAGCGAATTCCTTCAAAAATTATAAAGTAAAAAAAAAAAAAAAAAAAAAAATATGTGTGGTAAAAGAACTTTCAAATTATTGAAACTCTTGTGTAAAATAAATGCCCCGTATACTTTGACTTTAGTGTATTGCTTTTTGAAAAGTCTGTCATTGTGAAAGTCTTAACTGGTGCACAAGGAGTCAATATTTGGTTTTAAGGATAAAAAAAAGTAAAAAAATTTATAAGCATACATTAAAGACCACTGGAATTGAAAAAACCTGAAACTGCAAATTGGAATGGGTAATAAAGTAAGGATTGTTCACCTAAAGTCCGTTTTTAGGCTTTAAAGGCAATTTAATCATAGAATTCATGACTTTGAGTTTATTAAATTTTTAAATAAATTGTCAACTAAAAATAACAACCATATTTATTAAATTTAGTAAAATATGAAAAATTGTCGCACAAACTATCTATATTTGTGTCTTTGGACAAAAGATTTTTGTAAGAGAGAAAATGGTATAGCTCTCCAGAAATTACTTTATAATGTGGCTTTTAAAAAAGCCTGAAAATGAAACTCCTCATGTTTAAAATAACTAAAAATATAGCAATTCTTTTCTGGTACACCAGTCAACCGTTATTGAGGTTTTGCAAATACATTTCTCCTAAATCAAGGAAAATAAATGAGTTATATTTTCCCCCTAAATAAATTTGTTTTTATCTAGCAAATACACCTAAAATTAAATATTAAGTAATTAAAAGCTTTTAGTTTAATTTTTAGAATGTGTATATTTCCAAATCTGCAAGTATCACCTGTTCTTTGTTTTAGAGACATTTTAAAACTGAAATTAAAAACTTTTTTAATCATTTTAATATATAATCTTAAATGTATTCGCTAGATAAAACCATAAAGATATTTGTAAAAATAAAATGAATTAATTTTCCTTGTTTAGAAGAATTTTATAGGCACAACACCCACTGAACACTAGTGGATAAAAAATTTTTTTTTTACTTTAGATTTAAAAAAAAAAAAAAAATCTTGCAGTTCTGAAAATATGCACATTTTAAAACCGAGATTAAACTTAGATATTTAAAAAAAAAAAAAAAAAAAAAAAAAGTAAGTCGCTAGGTAGAAACAGCTATTTGTAGAAAAACTTGCATATCTGGAAACACATTTCAAAAATGAAATTAAGAACTATTTTAATTATTCTTAATATCTAATTTAGGCGCATAAAAAAAAAATTCATTTTTCTTGTTTACAAGAATTTTATTTCCTGATTGTCCTACTAGCTTACTAGAAAACCCTTACAAAAATCCAACTTCATAAAATTTAGTATTAAGACAAAACTGTCAACTTTTTTTTTTTTTTAAGTTTTTTTTTTATTTTTTACTATTTTGTTAATTTATTTCCTAAAACTGTTTTTAACATTTTTGTTCAATCTTTTTCTCTTACAATGGTATAATGTTAATAAAATTAAAATTTATCAACATCTGAAAGTCTTTTTCAATCATGTTTCTTTGGATATGGTCACCCAGTAGCAAGCACTTGGGTTTAAGATTTCGGTTTCATAAAAAATTTCGATGCAGTTTCAGTATGAAGATAAAAAAAAAAAAAAAAAAAAAAAAAAGTTGGTTTTTCAGTTAAACCACCCATCTCCAGTCTGGATAAATTTAAAATCCATTTATTGTAAAAGATTTTTTGGTTTGAAGAGAGGCGCCTGATCCCATGAAAAACTTACCTATGGATTTCTAAGGAGTTTGCTTTCATTATTATTATTACTATTATGTTTTATCAGTATTTAGTTGTACTAAAAATCAGAATTTACATACATATAAATACAAGACCGTTCCTTCATGATTAGATAGTTTTGTTTTTTTTTAAAAATCAACCAATATCGATAAGAATTTTTTTTATTCCACTAACTTCACTTACGCATAATTATGTTCAAAGTATGATAGCCAATGACAAATTACCTCTACTGATGTCATGGAAATTGAGTTTAAAGCTGAAATGTATGCATCTACCATTTTCGTCCTGCAGCTGTTCTGGCCAATGAAAGAAAAGCTACATAAAAGCCATTTTTACTGTAACTTATGAAACTTATTCCAGAAACAAAATTTGTTATTCAATATTCATGTTATGAATACTTGTATAATTCAATGAATTTTGTATTTTAAATTTAATCTCAGTAACTCCAAATGATACATTTTACCCAACCTTGAAAAATGCTTCTTTTTAGATGAAAAAAACCTGCATTGATTTATTATCACAGTGAAAAAAAAAATTTGAGCTGGTTTGTTGTACTTCAGAACCATTTTGAACACTGCTAATAAAAGTCCAGAAAAATTATTCTATGACAGTACAAAGTACTTAAATATCTGAGGTCCAGATATCAGTAACAAAATAAGAATTTTAATTTTACACAAAATGGCTCCAAACAGTGATTGTTACAAATAAATTCATCTAAAATAAAAGTTAACTTGCACCCAAAGAAAAGGATTTATTTTAAAACCTTCCTTTGCAGCCGAAATAAGTATACAATAGAAATTGTAAATGAAATGGTGTGGCCATGTAAAGTGAACAAAGAAAATCATTCCAATTTATATATCTATTGTGCACATTGTCAACTTGCAAGATTCCAAAAGATTTTGCTTAAACACTTTCATAGAACTAGTATATATCTCATTAGTATATACCTACCACTTCATTAGAAAGGAAGTCTGGAAAACATTTTTGGTGTGTTAAAAAAAAAGTTTTAATTTACTTAGTTTCCAGAAATGCATGTACACCTATCTTTAATTGTACATCCTTTATATATATATATATATATATATATATATATATATATATATATATATATATTAGTTAATGGTAAGAGTTGAATTAGACCAGGAAGTAGTAATATTAAAAAGTGCTCAACACTCATAAAAAGATAAAAATTTAACATGTAGAGCTTTTAAGTATGGACAATTAGGAAATAAGCCAATTCTGCCACCTTGGCTTCAACTTATCAGTATCTTCAGGCAATTTCAGTCATTTGATTCCCTAATGCTTTTTTTTTTTTTAAAGAAAATTTTATGAATGCTTAAAAAAAAAAAAAAAAAAAAAAAAGTGCACAACATGGTGTGGTAGAAGGTGAGGAGGGTAAAATCAGATGTACTGGAAATGTATCAGTAGAGGATTAAAAGAAATATAAATATGTTTTTATCCCACTTCAAATGAAAAGAAACTTTACTATGTATATACCAGGGACAATTTCTGATTGTCTGGTTTAAGTTTTTTTTTTTTTTTTTTGATCTGGGAGTGTTATTATAGCTAATTTTTTTTGTTGAGAAAGGTTGCAGATGTTGCTATGATTGTTGTAAAGTTTTGCTTTAAAATTTTCCAGTTTACATTTGGATCTTTTTTTATTTTTCTACTTTAATTTTTCATACATGGTTGGCTAGTTTAGTAGAATTTCTAAGGCTTTCTAGCTTAAAAGATGACTTATGCTTGTACCACCTCTTCTTAAAGAGACCCTCAGTACACCCTAGGTATATTTTTTTCTGGTCATTTGTATTTATTACTTCTTTGTAAATTACTGCTTCAGTTTTGCAAACTTCATCAAATGGACATCTGTTTTTATTTCTAAAATTGCATATTACCATTAACAAGGTTTTGCTACACATTAGTTTTTTTTATTTTTTTTTTTTTATTTATTATTTCTGGCATATTGTCTTTTTATTGTGGTTTCTAAATTACTAGTACAGCTTAATTTAATGATGTTTTTAAAAATTTTCCCTATTTTACACTTTATCTCTAAAAAAAAAAAAAAAAAAAAAAGTTGTTTGGCAAAATACAAAGGCCACAAGCCAGTCTTTTTTTTTTTTTTTGTACGATATATATGGATAAAAGTTTTTAAAGGTCATATTTTATAAATACATATTTATCTTTGTAATTTTGCGGAACTAAAAAAATACACTCACCTGTACCCTACCACCGATTGCATCGTGTAGTTATCCTTAATAATTTTTTTTTTTTTTAAAGTATTTCTTTACTTATTTTACCCATTCAGTTTTGGTTGGGTTTATGCATCTAAAAGAAGAATTGAGAAATTCATCTTTATGGTCCTTTATAGTTAAAAATGCTTGCTTACAGTATTATATATGGACCCGGTCACTTATACAGATTTTGGCAGTGATATTTTTTGCCTCCTTATTCATACTTTTAATGTACGAGTTTGGTGCTTATTGTAAGTTTTAGTGACTTATTTAGGTTTTTTTTCTGGTAAGTCTCCAGGTTCATAATATAAATCTTTGTGTTGTCTCCTTTAACTAGGATGTTTTTAATTTTTTTTTTTTTTTTTTTTTAATTCAGCAGTTAGTAGTTTTTGGAAATTACTATTAACTTTTGGAAATTTTTTAAAAAGCAAAACCTTACAATCATAGCAATATCAACCTTTGTCAACAAGAAAAATCAGCTATAATAACATTTCCAAGCCCCCAAAACTTTTGAATTGGAGATGTGTGTGTGTGTGTGTGTGTGTGTGTGTGTGTGTGTGTGTGTGTGTGTGTGTTAAAAAAAAAAAAAAAACAGCCAACACTAATAGGGATCTCTTATTTACTTGTCTTATTTTCCAGATGGCCAATTGCTTGACTGTTCAGGAACGAGCTAAGATCGCAGCATGCTATGAAGTGTGGAATTCCACTGTTGAGGTTCAGAGATGGTGTGCATGGTAAACTAAGTATGCAACACTACATCCGGAGACAAAAAAAAAAAAAAAAAAAAGTTGTCATGCAAAGCCCATGACCATGGGCTCTGAATGATGCAAGTGGCCGTCCAATCACACCTCAAACAGTGGAGAACATAACAGTGCAGGAAATGTTTAATCACAGGCCACAAAAATCAACATGTCAAGCAGCTTGTGAAAGTGGACTAACAAGACGTAGGGTGTCACATAAAGAATCGAATTTTCACCCATGGAAACCCCATTATAAGTGCAGGAGCTAAAACCTGGAGACTGTGACCATAGAATGGAATATGGAGAGTTAATATAAGTCAACATAAAGCTTGGCCTGGATTGTTTGAAAACATCCTCTGGAGTGACAAGGCTGTATTCCATGTTGGGAGGTTTCATGCATCATCACAACTTCCATCATTGGGTGTTGTGTGATAACAATCCAAACAGTTGAGAGGCTGCAAGCTTGACCAAAAGTGACTGTGGTGCAGAATGACAACAACAATAGTCATCAGCCCACATCTTTTCCATGACACCACTATCTTCAGATGCTCAAAAATGACATGTAACCCATGGTGTCTGGCTGGGATAACATTGGTGACCCGATATTACCGATTGTACACCACCGCATTTTGCTCTTACTGTGCATGCATGGTTAGACCAACATTTTCCAGGATGTTGGATGGGATGATGCAGACCTTAAAAATGGCCTCCAAGAAGTCCAGATCTCACTCCATCTGAATTTCACCTGTAGGGTTAGACAAAAGAGGAAGTATACAAGACAAAACCACGCATACTGGAGGATAGAAACACGGATTCAGGAAGTTAATGATATCCCAGATGACACACTTTAGAAGTGCATTCATTCCATCCCTGGCTGTTTGAGGAAACTACTTGATACCAATGGTGCTTATGTTGAAAAATGAAGTTCTTACTTTCATTTTTCCCTATGTAATAAAGAACATGTATCATTTGTTTCAATAAATTTGTCATAGGAATATGAACTTTATTCATATTACCAATTTTTAAGGTCTACTTCTCATACATTGAGTATGCATGTATATATATCAAATCCCTAAGTGGAAAGGGATAATCCAAACATTAAAAAGATGGATCCATAAAGAGAGCTCCATGTATAGTATATAAAGCAATATCAAGGAAAAACTTAACCTCATTGAAAACAATTTGTTTTGGCAAGTAGATTTTTAATACTTGTATCATCAGATCAAAATTACAAAATGGTATAATTTTACAAAATGGTTTAAATTTGTCCAGAGAATATTTTTCAAAACCAGATAATAGGAAATCTAGACACTTTAACTAGAAAATCTATTTTCTGGGGATTTATATTATTGAAAATATTGGTGGGAGGGGAAGTTGTCAACCCCATGTTCCAGTGTGGTGATAGGGAAAATACAAGTAATATATATATATATATATATATATATATATATATATACACACACATATATATATGAATGAATGATAATTAGTAGGGATAATTCCAAAGATGATATAAATACAAAGAACACTCAATGTAAGAACAGAGCAAATATAATAATGATGAAAGTGGAGTCCTTAGAAATCCATTATTATTATTATTTTACATATACAGCCCAGGACTATTTCTGTGCAAGCTTTACATGTTTTTGGCCACAACCCAAATTATAAATCTATCAAATTTTCCAATATATGAACTAAAATTAAAAAATAAGCATGTTAGATGAATTTTCCATAAGTATCCAAAGTAACATTTAAAAGAAAAAAAAAAAAAAAACTGATCCAATATCTGACATTAACACATTTTCAAAGGAACTGATTTTATTGAAGGAACATTTTAAGTAACAATTTTTTTTGGTCGCTTATAGAGATCAAATTAAAGCAGCTGCAATAAAAATGACTTTTGCCAATTGATTTTAACTATGTTGTTTCTGACTGATCAAGCTCCCAAAGGGGTGAGTGTTACAGAAAATGATTCCCTCGTGCATTTTCCAACACTTTGAAAGGTAGGAAGTGGGTGCTGGTAGACAAAGCTCTGACCATAAGCAAATGCATCAATTAATTGCCTTGTCATTTTTGAAATACAATGACTGCAGTAGAATAAATATAAAGACAATTTCACTTAAAAAAAAAAAAAAAAAAAGTTTTAAATAGGCTGAATATAAAAGTATACACAATTTGGCTTCCTGCAGTAAGGAGGGATGTATAATAAAATTACCTTTGCAAAATCTGGAGGTGGGTTTTTACCTCTGCACAAGTTGGAAAGACACCAAACAGCATTTCTTGTCATAGATAAACTTGTAATTTTGCTCAATAATCTATAATAGATAAAAATTTTCAAAGCTTTTTTTTTTTTTTTAATTCTGATGTTTTATTCAAAAAAAAAAAAAAAAAAAAATCAGCATTCCATCAATTAATAAGAACATATATAAAATATCAACTGAAAAAACTTCCAATAATCACCAATTATTATTATTATAAGTGAGGGAACACTGTAATAAAGCATTAAATTTGTAATATTCATTTGACTGTAATTTTAAAGTCATTAGTTAAAAAAAAAATACAATGATAGTTGACTAACCTGAATATTATCAGATCCAAAAATGGAAGTCTATTATGACAATGGCTTAGGATAAGTAGTTTTATAGGCATGCACACACAACTACAAACATGATTCTAACCATAATATTAGGTGTCAACCATGATCACCACAAAGCCATTAAAAAAAAAAAAAAAAAAAAAAAAAGCTCATGAGCGCACTAGAAACATGCCAGAGAATGCTTGAACATTTCCTTTTAGGTAGAGAGATACCAGCTTAGTGAAATAGGCCTATTTCAGAGTTAATAGTTAATTTTTTTTTTTAAGTTCTCACCTGAGAGAAAAAGCTCAGTTTTATCTGTGTATCTGAGATGAGGTATTATGATTATTTAAATTATTCGTACTGTTATCCTCATCTTCATTGCCACATTCACAACATTTTGGCTGTTTTATGCTCTGGCCTTCTTCAGGTGATTGGAATTTCGACCAAACCCTTTATTTCGTCCAGTGTAGACTTCTAGTTCCACCACTGCTGTTGCCTGGTATTGAACTCTTGACTCTTTCGGTCTAATCACTGGATCTAACCAACACCTTTATCCAAATATACAGGTACACAAATCTGACCCAGCCAAATTAAAATGCAAAAGCATCAAAGATTAAAATGGACAATTTAACAGATGTTAATTCATCCTAAAACTTGGTTACCCACTGAATCCAACCCATATCATTCACTCAATTTTTTAGTTATATTGCTTGAGAAAAGAGGATATGTATAATATAATATCCATAAAAGTCTTGATTTCAATGAGGGGAAAAATAAAAAACAAAAAAAACAAACTACAAACCTAATATTGCAACCAGAAATAATTTTTTCTTTTTAAGTAAAACTTGTAAATAATTGTATATTTTTAAAACTTTTTTTGAGTAAATTAATTTACTAAGGCTCACATTCATGAGGAAATTTACTTACTGTAATAGGGGTACCAAGATACCTTCATTCAATACATAATCACGACATTCTGGACTATCTCCTGCTATGTTCCCAAGAGCCCAAACAGCCTTAAAAAGAAAAAGGGACCCAGATCAAATATTTTAAAACAAATGTAGCTAATTCATGATGGCATATTTTTTTTTTTAAGGGCATCACAAAAAGATGTTACAAAAATTTTTGAAGTGAGCAATTATTCACAAATTCCATTTAAAACTAGAGATATTTAAAAATCAAAATAGATATACAATAAATAAAAACAAATGAATTCAAGACTTAAAAGAATTAAAAAATACATTTATCTCATTACCTGCTCTTGAACATCCTCAATTTCAGATTCCAAGAGTCTGATGAATATAGGAACAGCACCTGCTTCAATGACAACTCTAGTTTGAATAGACGTACCAGACGCAATGTTGGTTAAAGCCCATGCTGCTTCAAACTACAAAACAGAGTCACATGAAAGATTACTTTTTGTCATGAAGAAAAAAAGAAAAAAAAAGTACCAAGTTAGACAAGAAATTAAGACACCAATGATTAGCCCACTTCATTCATTCCCACACCCCAATTTCATTAACAAATGTTGTTTTCATACAAGTTTATGCTATTAATTTCTGAATATTTTTACAACACAAAATTTTAAGGAAATGATAACTATTATACAAAGGATAAATAAATTTACCTGTAATGAGCAATTACCATCTCGCTGAAGAAATTCAACAAACTTGGGAACTACCCCAGTTAAGATAACTTCATCAATTGGTGGGTTCGGTTCTGAAATAGCATTTTAGACAAGCAACTTTTAGAATACATAAATTTGAGGTCCAATTCAGATTCAACTAAAAATATATTAGCATTCAAAATAGTTACTGCGAGATTAAAACAATTTTGATAAAAAACATTTAATAAAATTTAACATTGTTTTTCTTTTTTTAAACTCAAAATTTAAATTTACTTTTGCAACCAACAAATAACAATTTACATTATATAACCAAGTAGCAGGCCCAAGGTTTGGTCAAAGTGAGCCTCAAAGCATATATATATATATATATATATATATATATATATATATATGTGTGTGTAACTTAAAATAAATTTCATGAAATTAAAACTGGCACTATTCATTCAAGTACTTTAAAGAAATACAACTTTGTACAAATAGGTATTTTCAATGAATACTGATAAGTGAAAATACTGATAAAAATGAATTTCTATGGACTGTATCAATACAAAGAATTCAGTAAATTTTTTTTTTTTTTTTTCATGAAAATTATTTACATTAATTTTTATTAACAAAATCAAATGTTTGTATTTGAAATTTGTTAGTTAAAAAATAAAATAAATACTTTAATAAACCCATAACATTAATCCATAGAAATTAACTACTTGTTGAATTTTAATAAAATTTTCTTCAATCAGTGATCAATTTAAAAGATCATATATGTTGTGTATTTAGGCAGCATTTTTTCATTCATAAACGTTTCATTAAATAATATAGACAAGTGTTGTCTCTTCATTTTATGTAAATTCTTTTCATAACATCCGATAAGCTTAATAACATTAAACAAAGAAAGAAAGTCACAATATTGATACAAATTTTTAATCCAATCTAAGCTTTCAGCTTACATAAGACATTATTGAAGATGACAATTACTGTACAATATATTAAGCAATACACAGACAAGAATGTGATGATAGTTTGTTTCTGTTTACATGGATGATTTCCAAGCAACGATAAACATGTGCATACAAGACGCTGGAAGCGAAAATTGCACCGCAGCTCATGACATCACGTGGCCACACGAGAGTGAATTCGAGAAGTATTAAGTATGGGAAGCCGTTGGTGTAAACCAATGGCTTCCATTACTAATTATAGACATTTAAGGATATTTGATACTTAATACTTCTCGAACTTGTCTATATATATATATATATATATATATATATATATATATATATATATATAAAAATAAATAAATAAACTTTCTGGTGTAAATACTTTCACTTAATTTTGTGGATTCACTAGTTAATTAGACCTATCCAGAATGTTGAAAATTTAAAAACTGCAAAATATACAAATATTTGAAAAAATGGTTTCAGCTCCATTACAAAACATTAAAAAGAACAATACTGAATTATTTAGATTACTAGGTCCTATAATAATCATTGAACTAATTTTCATAGATTTTTATTGCTCATTAGATGTTTGTAATTTAGCATTTATAAAAAAAAAAAAAAAAAAAAAAAAAAAATGCATGTCAACATTCACTCATCTTGCAACTTTTCTGCAAATAGCTTCTTGTAGTAGCTAAAGTTACTAACTGCATTAAAAAAAAAAAATAAAAAAAAGTTTCATTGTATAGCCTATCAAAAAGTATCAAAGTTTCTCAACACAACTAAAAAGGGATTAAAAGATCATGATATTTGTCAAATTTGGGGAAACAATAACTTAAGCAACACCTTGCATTCTTGTTTAGAGATAATATAACTAATACTGATATTTTGTCCACATTAAGAACCATAAAAAACCCTTACCAAAGAGAAAAATGTGGTTGGGGAGAATGGCCTTTTCATAGTATAGTTGAAATATATGGAATGTATTTACTGCCAACCCTCCCCTCCCAAACACACACTTCCAAACTGTCCATCCAAGCAAGCATTAAGTCAGTTATCTTTGTTAGGGTTTGATTTTTTTTTTAGGAAGGGGTGAGATTTTCAATTACAGGGTTTTAAACTATTTCCATAAATATATAACTATTGATAAAATCCCAACATTTACATTACTATAAGTAATTACAAATTACTAAAGTACTTAAGGGAAAGGGATAAATTTAGGACTATTTCTTTCCAATTAAGAATTGTTTTTAATTATTGTAATACTTTTTAAACAGTTGTGTCATACGTGCAAATCTATATTTGCAACAACGCTTTTGTAGCCGTCTCCTTCAGGAAAGCACACAATTCACCAATCTAATTCAAACTACATAAGCCATCCATAATGCAAATTTGTTCAAAATTTAAACCTTACCTTTTGACAAGAGTTTACGAAATTTCTGTGTGGCAGGTTCTTGTTCTTCAATGTTGTCACTGTATAGCGCTTTTACCATCTCACTGGTAACACCACCCTGCATTAAAAAAAGAAGTTCCTTTATATTTAGACAGTACTGTCCTTACTAAGAGAATTAAAAATCTCTATTGAAAGTGGATTTTAGGATTTGAAATCTGGCATTTTTCTAAATAACCAGAGTCTAAGAAAGATACAAACATTAATATTTATGTAGCTATATATTATGACAGTAAATATCAAATATTTGTCAGCCACATTTTTCTTTTACAGGAAGAGACTAATAAAGCATTATGCATGGACAAGAATTTAAAAGATATCTTAAAAGTAACAATTGTTGGAAACATTTAAACTGCATAATCTTTCATGCAATTACAATCCATATTTTTTTTTTTAGTTATTTTCATTGTAGTTCAAAATGTTTTAAGATATTTACAAGTCTTCAATTTGCTACTGTTCCTGGATATACATTAATTTATAGAGGTTCATGAATCATTGATAATTTTATTCTTAATTTCAAAAGTGCATCTACAAAGTATAAACTTACAGTATATGAGGAAGAAACATAGGGTTCTTGGATATCAGAGATAACATCCTCTGATTCACTCGGTAAGGAGACATTTCTTCTTTTAAAAAGCTGAAAGAGAAAAAAAAAAAAAAAAAAAAGTATTATTTTTGGAAAATAAAGTTACAAATTCCAAATGGATAAATGCTTTTAATATTCTCCAGCCAAGAATTAACACTTCATAAGATTACGTCAGATCCCAAATACTTATGCACTAGTTCAAATACTAACAGCTAAATTTCATTACTATTTTTCAATTGGCTAAATGTCTGAAGTCCTTTTGCTAGGACTTCATTAGACTACAGATTTGTTTCCAAATTTTTATACTAATCTATTATATTTCAGCTTCCATTATCAAATCTTCAGGCATTATCTAATAAAATTATCTTCCTATGAATAATTAAGCAAACTTTCACAGATAAGTGATGAATAATTCAACAGAAATACTGTTAATATCTTTACAAGAAAAAAATTGATAAATATTGATATCCATTGTGGCATTGCACAAGAAACAACTAGTTGGAAAAAAAAAAAAAAAAAAAAAAAATCAATTCCTCCATAATAAAATTCTACAAAGAACAGGAAATTGTGAAGAGCCATGATTACAAGTGTCCTGAAGGGATACAGAACAAAGAATTATAGACAGATACAGAAATCATTTTATACATTTTAAAAAAATAAGCTACAGATTCTTACCATATTTAAAAAATAATTACTTAAATTTAAGAGAATTTATTAGAACAATGAGTAAATGTATTGCAAATTATCTTTAAATTCTTTTAATAGTTTTGACTTAATACATTCAGCATTAAGGATAGTATCATTTTTAATTAGATACATAGTTTATCAACCCTTTGAAGGTCATTTAAAGCTGAAACATTTTTGACTAAGAATTTGTTTTTGCAAGCAAATTATTTTTTGAGAATTATTTTTCAAGATACAAGTCCTACAGCTGGGGAAGGTGATGTATTCATACCTTTCCCAAAGTTATTTGCACGTAAGTGAATGTAACGAACCTGACTGGAATTCAAACTGAATTTTTCGTTTGAAGCCACTATCCATTACACCACTCACACATCCAAGCTACAGTGAAATTGGAAAACAAAAAGCAATGTGCAAGAACTGATTAACTACTAAATTGCTTTGTATAAAATAAGCGTTTTAATATCCAAGGTGCTGAAATATTCTTGGCCCAACTAAGAAACACTTAAAAAGGAAATAAAACTTGCTGATTAGGTCAGATTTATGGAAACATCAGTCCAAGAACCTTTTCAATACACCCTCATAACTATTCAAAACAATAGTGGATAGTAAATAAAATAAGATTTTTAAAATGAAAATCATAGAAGTAAAAAACAAAGTTTTAACAGAAGTCTATATTTCTGAGATGAGATATTGTAATTATTTACATTGTTCCCACTGACTGGTAAAAATTTCACTTAAACTTAGAATTTCTATAGGCAAACTTTCAAATTACATTCATAGTAACAAGATCAGTTAGTGAATAAATTTCCAGTAGAATAAGTAAATACTTACTTTTACTTGATATAATTTATTCTTAAATCACAAAAATTATAATTTATTTGAAGTGATCACTGATCATTTCTCTAATTCAGCCAATATACATGTCTGAAATATCTAGAACTGTATATTCAAAGTTTAAATATAAATTAAAAAGCCCAGAATCAAACAGAATTACCAATATTTTTGCATAATGCAACCGTAATATTTAGAATGCTGTACCAGAGATCTTGTGAATGAAAGACTGATACAGTTACACAATCCATAGAACTATCATCCTTCAGCATATTTATCAACTATCATCTAAAACATTAAATATCAGGATAAATTTTTTTTTAAGATATCAAAAATTCATGAAGTAGTTGCCGTTTTTTTCTATCAACCAAGCCGACAGGACCAAGTGCACCCTTTTATTCAACCCATGGCTAGGGTCAGAAGAGATGGATTCATACCTTTCCCAATGAACATGAATGGAATTCAAACCTGGCTTTCTGATTTCCTTAATTATTCTCATAAAAATAAATTACTGAGTTGGAGACCACAGTTCTAGTATGAAATAACTAAAAATGGAATCGTTTTTAAAATTATTTTCAAGTCACCCTATGTTACACGTGCTTATTTTTGGAAAACTGAAAATTTAAAATAATCCTATAACCACACAGATTATGCGTTTAATGCACATTTAAAGCAGAAAAGACAGCAGTTACAAGGGACATTTAATTTTAATTCCATCAACTAGTTGAAGTAACCATTTGTCAGATAGATTAAGAATTAGATAACACAATACAATAACATCCCCAATATTGACAGTAATGTTTTCAGAGTAAAGGTATGCAAAAACTGCTCGATTTATATGGTCATGAAAATTGTAGACAGTTTCCAAGAAGCAATTCATTACTTAAGTTTCTCTACTGCTAATTGAAATAAAGCCAAAGAAATAGACCACATATTTATTGCGCCCACTTCTCCTCCACCCCTGTATATTTAATTATGCCTGTTGATGAAATTATTAGTACAAGCAAAGCTTTTAATAGATGTAGATGAAATTTCTGCTGAATGAGACAAAGCCAAATTAAATTTGATCCACATAATATCAAACAAGATGAAATAAATGAAATATATAACTAAGAAAGGCATTTTATATTCTTTGCCAAAAAATTTGTTAACGACATTCATAAGTGTCAAAGTTAATTTTCTTCATCAGCAACGGTCATAGAGATAGTATTTAGATCTGTGGAAAGACAGATACAGCAATGACTAACAGAAAAGAATACTATGAAAAATAGGACATATTTGGAAAAGAATATTGTGAAATTGTTTTCAAAGTAAACATTTTTCATTGCACAGGGCATTAATAAGTCTAACATTGAATGCTTGCAAATGGTTAGGACTAAAAAAAAAAAGATGCAGATAATAGAAAAATGGAAGACTCCACCTACACATTTTTATACATTGAATTCAGAAAGAATACATACCAAATTTAAAGTTTCTACATGAAACCAAGTTTAGCAAACACTTCCCAATTATGGGGGGGGGGGTAGAGTAATCAAAAAAACTTTTCATTATTCACAGTTCTTTCATTTTTGCATTGCCAATATATTACCACTGGGAAGGACATCAACTTCCCAACTATGATACCACAGACTAACAAAGTTAAATGAAATCGGTTTGGTATTTTTGAGCAATAGGAATTACAGAAGTGAAAGAGCGAGATAGGCAGGTAAGATTTTACATGTATCCAATTCATTTGTGTTAAGTAAATCTTAAAAAAAAAAAAAAAAATTACAATTTTTAAAGCAATCACTGACTGCCAAAATGCATAGCAAAAGCATGTCCCACATCAGTTAATGTAGATGACTCCAGAGTCTTAATAGTTTTCTTCCCTTCCCAGGAGAGGAACTAGAACATATCTCATTGACCATAAAATTGATCGACTGATTGTTATAGGTCTGCTTCAATACAGCTACTGCAAAAGTATGGAAGGCGAAAGGAACAAATTTATGGAATTTATAAAAAATTTTGAGGAAATTATGGCCTGTGAAAAGGGTTCCAACAGGCCATGTGTTGTAAATTCTACTCTAATCAGATGAGAGAGAGAAATAACTATGCATAAACATGTATAAAAATTTATACTGATGAATTGTATCTAAATACTATTAGTACAATATACTTCAGCAATAGATAAAAATTAATTGCTTACTTTAGGCCAATATAATAAAAAGTAAATTATTTTCTTTCTTCATTTACAGTATAGACTAATTAACAGACAAATCTTACATTCTATATAATTGGCAAACTGAATAAATATGTCTGAAATTCTGATTTCAGAAAGAAGTATTGCTATAGTGTGTGTCCACTTTCCGACTTTCAAAATGTTGACTCAGTTTTACAACTAAGCCAGTGTAAAAAAAAAAAAAAAAAAAAAAAAAAAAATAAAAAAAATAAAAACTCATGAACAAGGTCATTTCCCTCTACTTTTGTTTCTCAGTGCTAACATTTTACTGGAGACAAGATAGCATATGCTTAAAGACTGACTAATGCAGTCATTTATTAAAATAGCTTGATTATACTAATTAAGGTCAACAATTGTATTAATCATGAGAGCTTCCAGCAGGAATTTATCACAACACCTATTTTTCTAAAATTCCTATACTTTACAAGCTATATATGCTTTCTAAAGTCAGATAGATATATATATATATATATATATATATATATATATATATATATATATATATATATATATACACACACACCTTTTGTTTACTATTGTAAGTTCATTTAACTGAATTTTTTAGAGGTTTCCAAAACTAAACTAAAAAAATTGAAAATAGAATGTCACAATACTGTATGGCATTTAACAGGTCTTGTAAGTATGCAAAGATGATTGAATCCAGTATTTTTGCTACCAGGTATATGAATTTCAAAGTTTTTTTTGTTAATTCTAGAAATTCATGAATATCATTTTATATAAAAACCAAATCAGTTAATAATTCTATAAATCTTCCATAAAAATAAAAAAGTTATAAAATTTATGCCATAAACATGTTAAAAGGACTGGTTATATTGGAATGGCAAAGTTTCAATTTCATATAATTTAACAATCTTATTAAACTAGGCCACATTAAATACTCTCCAACTAGGATGAGAGAAAGGAAAGGGAGTGAGAAAAATTTAGATATCTGAAATGACTCAAAACCTACAACTTAGAGACCAATCCTTATTCAGGGTGTCATTTCACTAAACAGAACAGTGGTGGTCACAATGGCTATGATTTAGTGTAAATTAAGATTTATTACATTAATACAGGCAAAGTTTAACTCTAGAAAATATCTTAGCTTGTACTATTAGAGTTATCTTTCTGGTTGGATTGCTAAGATTGTCAATAGATTAGAGTATAGCCATAAACAATAGAGTGTTGTCAAGGCAGGGTGAAAAAAGTCAAAACTAAATCTGAAATATTCAGAAATCATTAAGCCTACATGAACCATCCCACGATGCCCTTCATCACAAGGTCAAATACAAAGCAAAATATTAATGACAAATTAGTG